AACCTAAACTAAACAAAGGACTTTTACTGAGTAAAACATTTTTATCCATTAGAATATTGTTAACTCGTGGAACGAACTGCCAGAAAGGGTTGTTTCAGCACAAACAATTGATACCTTCAAAATCAGACTAGACCACCATTGGAATGATATGAAAAGATATGGGACTCAAGAAGCATCGCCTACTATCTAACTCTCATACAAGATGTAAATGTATAAGTCAAGTCGACGTCATTCTTCGAAAACCCAAGGTATTCCGGTACTTATAAGTTAAGCTGATGGAGTGGATGTAGGTGGCGGGTATTAGACGATGCACAAAGACTTGTTGATAACATGGTTAATATTAGTTTATCACTGAAACACATGTGCTTATATATGAGGGATTAGTGACAAGATCATGTACTTAAAACAACAAATTGATGTATTTCTCAGACATTTGTACTAAAATGTATGCCAGAGGAAATCTGCAAATACTTTTCTTATAATACAAAACCTTGGTTTCTTTACCTGCAATAAACTGTTTATCTTAAAAAATGTCGTCCAATTGATAATTATAACAATAACATTTTTATTTAAAGAATGTTACACATGAATATATGGTAATTAAATATACTAAATAAACAATTACTAGTACTGTTAACTTATCTATCTCTCCCAATTATGTCGAACATTGCGAGTTTATGTCTAAATCGCAAGAAAATTACATAAAAAGAATATAACAGAGTTAAGAAAAGAAAAACAATTAAAATTCTGAAAATCCAGAAAGGGAGGGGTGAGGGGGTATGTGAACAAGGACCTCGTTGCAGCAATATTATACCGCTTTCATTGTCATCTTTTTATTAAAGGAGCCATTATTTATGGTTTTCTTTGGTTACCAGGACAACATTCATATTGATATTGCCGACAGCTATAAATCCTTTATCTAGAGCAATATTAAACAAGGTTATTATATTCTGATGAAGCGAACTTAATTCCATGTCCATATGACGTCCTCCTGGTAAAAACAGAGAAAACCTTCACATGGGACATTGCTATTGCTTATAAGAGTTTATTTTGTTTCGTTTCTTTTTCGTTTTTTTGAGGGGGGGGGGGGGTCGTTGGGTTTATCCTCGCACAAACACAGAAGAGAACATATAGCGACTTTCAAGCTTTATCGGTAGAGGAATCCCCCGGGTGCCACTCTATGCATCCAGCGGGTATCTGACTAGAACCACCGACGATCGTTAGCTAGCTGGATGGCTTCCTCACATGAAAGATTCCAAAGTCCCTGGCGGGATTCGCACTTACACCGATGATGGGACAAATGGGCATATTGAGAGTTAAACTACATGTACTTTTATTAAAGTGAATAAACATATATGTATATTGATACACAATGTCAAATTCAATTTTATTATTCTAAGATTTTAAAAGGGTTTTAGGATAAAGTAAATTTTAACGGGTTACTAAAAGGTCGTCCCAAAAGTGGAAATTTTGAGAAAACAATAACAAAGAAACTTAAAAGTTAGATAAAGGTACAAGTTTTGGACCAACCGACGAAATGACTTAACAACCTATTGTTTTAAAAGGTCGAGCTATAAACAAAAGAAAGATGGCCCTAGATCGCTCCTCTGACCCATCGACGTCATCCCAGCAATGTCTTAGACAAGCACCCTGACCAAGTTTGATGACAAATGAGTCAACAAGAGCTGTCACAGGAGACAGCGAAGCTCGACTAATTAAATACTGGACGCAGTAAGGAAGAAAAAAGTTATGGTGAAAATATTTTACTGCACCAAAACTTTAATCTGAAATCTGGGGCGGACGCCGGGGCGAGTAGGACAGCTCTCTATATACTTCGTAAAGTCAAGCTAAAAATGTGACCTCTAGAGATGGCCCATGTTCGAACTCCTCCAAGCAATTAACTTAACAAGTACCTTGACAAAGACTGATGACCATTAAGTAAAAAATGTTACCATTAGAGTTTTATCAAGGTTTTTACATATATGGGTAGTGTGACCTAGTTTTTGACCCCAGGTGACCCATATTCGAATTTGACCTAGAAATCATCAAAACAACCTTCTGACAAATTTCCAGAATATTTGGATCAAACTGCAGCCACTAATGTTAAAATGGTTATTCTATTTTTAGCTCCTGTGACCTAGTTATTGACTTAAGATGACATATATTCAAACTTGACCTAGAAATCATCAAAACAGCCTTCCTGATCAATTTCCATGATATTTGGATCAAAACTGCAGCCACTAGAGTGTTAACAAGCTTTTCTTATTGTTAGCTCCTGTGACCTAATTTTTGACTTAAGATAAATCATTTTTGAATTTGGCCTGTATTTCATTGAGACAAAAATTCTGACAAAGTTTGATTATAATCCAATCAAAACTGTGACTGCTAGAGTGTTAACAACCCATATGTTGACGACGCACAATGCACGCCAGTTCACTACATCTAACCTTGACCACCTTATGGTCAGGTAAGCTAAAAACAGCTATATAAATGTATATCATCTTTCCGGTATATGACTGATAGGCTGTAAACCAAGACAAAACTGACAAACTCAAACATCATCAACCGCATACGGACAATATATATATAAAGTAGTAACATACCCCTACATGTACCTTAGATCACGCACTTGTTACCTATCTATGCAGCTGTTTTTTACCAAAGGTGCCCGTCGCGTGACCTGGACCCCCACCCCCCAACCCCACACTACAACCCCCCATATTTTCAAAAATAAAAAATGATCATCTGAAACCTGTAAAACACTATCCAATATGCATATTACAATCAAATTAATAGTTTCCAACAAAAATATATAATTCTATTGTTAATTTATTACAAGGTATTCATCTCTCAGGATTTCTCAATGGGAAAAAACTAATGTCATTGCTTGTAACGTCAATTTCTCATACAATCATCGGTCAATTTCCAAAATTTTGGTGGCAGGTTACGTGGAACGAATGTCTCTGCCTCGAAAATCATTCGTTTTCCACGAGGTTTATTTTATACCTGCAATATGACGCCTCAAATTTGACATTTGTGTTGGTCGGTAGATTCCTGGCCGGAAACTCCGCTGTCTATACACAGGCCTAAAATACGTAATATTCGCCGTTCAGCACCAAAGTTGCACTAGATTCATAAGAAATACATTAAATCAATACACTTACATGTAAAAATGATAGCCTTTCAGACAACAGTTCAGAGACACAACGATTTTCCTCTCCACCGTGTAAATCACAACATCTATGCAGCCATATTTCGAAGGGAATGCGCACGCATCATATTTGTAAACGCGTCTCCGATTGGTCACTTCTGGTGGCTCGCCTCTGGTGCCCGGCTTCCAACAATAAGAATTCGGTAACTATCAAATAAGAGGAAACCAGTAAACAGCTGATTGTTGGCGGAATTTTTAAAGTTGCGTGTTTTCCGTATTTACACAAATAAAGCACTGTTTTTATATTCATCGGTCTAGTTTTATCACACTAGTTTTATCACAAGCACAAGAATGTCGATTGTAACCTGGTAAGTTCAATGGTAAAGTTAAAGTGATCTTGGTATAAAAAATTTACAAATATTAATTGATATTGGCTAGCTCTAAAGTTTTAAAGTACTGTTTTAAATAATTGATTATTTGCAGTCACAACAATAAAACTTGGCTCCCTTTCGAGTTGCCTTTTTCCACTTCATATGGTGCTGAAGTCCAGCACATGCTCGATGAAGCCAGCCATTGCAGCCATCACATTGTATCCATAGGATCTCACCTTTAAACTCTTTATTGACTGTATCACAAACTTTACACTTTTCTTCACTTTCATCAATATCTTCACTTTCATCAATATTTTCACTACCTACTTCACCTGTTTCTTCGGTGACTTTTAGCTCTGTCACTTCCTCACTTTTTTTCATTTTATCTTCATCTGTGGAGCTATCAGTACTGTTTCTTCGACTCCTTTGTGCAGGTCTTACATTTATACCTGATGTACTTGGCTGTGCAATGTCCTCGTTAATAAATTCTGCCTCAGGAGATTTTGAAATATCTTTGTCCTTTCTTTGTTTTGTGTGAGCTGCAGTCGTCTGTGCAATTTCTGTAAGTTCTTCATCTGAACTACTGTCCATTCTAACAATCTTTCGCCTTAATCTTTTTCCTCGTGTGGCCTTTTCTTCTTCTCCTTCTCTTTCAACACTTACAGTCTTTCGTTTATGTCCCTTTCCTTTACTTTTATAAACATGCCCAGCTTGTTCAAGATCCTCACTTACATTTTCAATTAAAGCACTTTTTTTATTACTCTCCTTACCTTTGTCAGATTTTGTTTTATCTGTCTGTGACACTCTGATTTGCTTCCTGTGAGCCATCTTTTTTTGGATATTGAAACTTTCCAAGATATCCTTCCTGAATTGATTGACCATTACCATTAAGAACAATTTTATAATTTTCTTATACACATTACTTATTTGTTTGTTTCTGAGCTCTTTATTAACTGTCTCTGAATAAAACTCTTCATTTCTATTTATACTGATGTCTACAACCTCACAAAACTGATTATATAAATCACTTTTTTCCATTATTTCAGTTCTGATATGTTCAAACAAATTGCCACCATACTTATTAAAATTTTCTTCAATAAATAGAGACAAACATATTTCTGTTAGCTTTTTGAAAAAGTGGAAGAGTTCATCCGAAATGTTGGTAAGTGATCTATTACCTTTTTGTCTTCCATTAACATCTAGTAAAGATTCTGGCTCATTGGTGGTGGATATAACATGATGTTCATCTAGCTTTAACCCATCTAGAATACTGACAGCTAGCACAGATTCTTCAAACAATGCTTGACCAGATGCATCTGTCTTATACATATGGCTTCTTTTCTTCTGTATATATTTATGTCTTATTTTTATGCCTTTGCAATACAGTAACCACCTACATAGCGTACACGTGCATGTGATGCATTTGACACTGCTCTCCTTGATATAGTTCTCTGACTGACAGTAAATAGTTCAGCCTTCTACTTCAACAAATACTTTCTTATTTCATTTGCAATATTGAAACAGATATGCAGATGATCTTCACCAAAGCTTCTGTTTTCAAAAAGCATTAAACAGTTCATTCTGAATTCAGCACTGATTTGGTAATTATGTACTTTGCTGTAAAATTCAGAGAGATTTTTTGCTGACACAGGTTCTGCCGGGTTAATCTTTAAATCTTCAATGAAAGATGACAATTTACAATATTCATTCTTGCAGAACTGGATGTATTTATGTTGGTCTATCTCTTTCAGTATCTTGTTACTATTGTACTGCATTGGTGTTTTCACAGTTTTACATTCAATATTATTCAGAATTGTTTCCATATTTAAATCAGTAGGAAGATTGACTGACTCATTTTGTAATTCTGTTATTAATGAAATAATTTCATCAAATTCACTGTCAAATTCTTCTATTGTTGGTTGCTGATCATATAACTCCGTGTCAGCCTGCATAGAATCTAAGGCCATTAAATCCTCTACAGTAAATAGTGCGAGATCTGTGTCTGTCAACTGTTGCTCTCTGAAATTGACCAAAGAATTGCATGTAATAAAACTGTGTCATGAGGTGGCAATGAATTTCATAAAAGCAAAATGATAAAAATGCTACTATTACTTTTATTAAACAATATTTTTGAACAGTTTTACCAGCTATTTCACAAAAACTATTTCATAACTTAAGCACAAAAAATAAAAATGAATGTGATAATGTATTATCTGAAGTTATTCTTCAAGGAACAGTCATACATTTGAAAATTTGGAGACATGACTTACATATCTTTACTTATTAAATCATCATTTATTAACCTTTACCATGCTAAATTTCTTTAATAGACTGTTTCATCATTCAATTTGGGCAGTACCACTTATCATTGAAAGGGGTGTTCACTGAAAATTTACTGACTGAATAGCAAACAGTACAGACCAGTAATAGAAAATCACTACTGAATTAAACTTATATGATACAATTGAAATAAAATGAGGGGTATTCACAGGAGGGGTCAATTGATAAAATATAAAATAGACTGGCTTCTGACTACTGAATAGCAGCTGTTTAGATACTTTAGAGTACATAGATAATGCATGTTGTATAGAAAAGGTGATTTGTAGTCTTTATCAATACTTTTAATTGCAAGTAACTTTATGTAAATCAAATACATGTACTTAAATAAATACTCTGCTGGACACAATATTCCAATTTATTCTTGAGTGATTATAAGAAATAATTTCATGATTAACTGTTACATCTTAAACTTTTCATTCCTTTATATACAAACTAGAAATGAAATGTTTATTAGTATTGTGTGATATAATAATTTTGTTGATTATTTCAGAATCTCAGTAATTTCTTTAGGATGATTTAAACAAAATTTAGGAACTCTATATTGAAGAAACCTTCATGCATTTAGCAGAAATTAAAAAGTATGATTATTTTCAGGTTGCTCTCAAGAGTAAAGGAAGAGCCTAATGGCTTTGTGGAAGTGAACAAGTTGTACACATCCTTTGAATTTGAAATGGTAGAAAGTGGTGTTGACTTAAAGGTACCAAAAATGGTGTTTCTTGGTCATATTTTAAAGGTATTTCCAAATGCTAGAAAGGAAAGAAAAACTGGGAACACTAATATCAAAGTTACAACCTACCATGGAATCACTCTTCTACCCCTAGAAAGTTTTATGCCTGTGAAATCTATCACTATTAAGGAAATAAAGGGATTCCTTGCGAATGATGTTACAGTGACTGATGAGCATGAGAAAAGTATTAAGTGTACCATAGACAGCCACTGCACTAGTAATGGGAACAGAATAGTGAAAGTAATAACATTTTTTGACAATGGAGAGTGGGCTTTAGAAGTAAGCGGGGTATCTATTGACCTACAAAAATTATATATCTCCAGTACATTTTCTGGAGACCAAAATGGAATTGACTTTGTTGTAAATGCTGCACGTAAAATAACCTTGTGTGTAGGTGTAGAACTTTCAAAAAATGTGATTATGACTAGATTTCACATTCTAGATACATGGCAATCTGAAGACATACAAGGTAAACGATTAAGATCAGTAGTATGCAACAGAGTAGTTCCCATGAATTCAATGGGCAGCACATGTGTTAAATGCCAAAAAATGATTTTTAATTGTACAACACCAAAAGATGGTTCTGAGAAAGAAAACAATACCCCTATTTCCAGTAAGTCTGATGTTAAATCTAACATAAATAACAATATTCATAATAAAGTATCAGGATCAGCCGTTTCAAAGGATGATGTAAAGAAAATGATCCCTGGAGCAACCGACGAGATGGTGGAACTTGTACTAAGCCAGGCTCAAAATGCTAGCAGAGATCCACGGGGTAGAAGATGGACTCAAGGAATGATCTCAGTTTGTTTACAGTGGTTCTGTAGGAGTCCCCACTCATACGAAGCATTTCGAGCAACACAGTACTTGTCCTCCCTCCCGTCAACACTGATTCAGTATTTTAAATCGTGGAAGCACAATAGGTTTTGATGCAGTTGTTTCTCATGGATGTATGAAGAAGCTAAGAGAAAAGACATTCCAATTGAAGGATATACAGGAGGGCTAATAATTGATGAAATGTCCATTCAGTCAGACATCCAAATATGTAAGAATGGGGACATAGTTGAATTAACTGGTTTCATGGATGTTGGGGAGGAGGGAAATTTAAGTAACATTATGAGGAAAGGAAAAAATGAGAAAGTGCTGGGTACACATGCATTGCAGCTGGTCTTTCTTGGAGTCACAGGATTTAGATTTCCTATTTCCCATTTCATCTCAGATGGTATCCAAGCATATGGGCTTTATCCTTTGTTCTGGGAAGCTGTGGACCGCCTGAGAATGTTTGGTTTCAACACAGTTTATACCTGTATGGATGGGGCACAGTGCAACAGGACATTTATGCACATTAATATTGGCGCCAGTACTACATACACTACTCAGTGCCCTTGTAACTTTGCCAACATGATTTTTATGATGGACTCTAAACATGTTATAAAAAAAATACGAAACAATATCATTAAAAGTGGAACATCAAAATCTTCAACTAGACTCCTTACTTTAGAAACTTCACATACAATACAATGGCAAATGTTCATTGACTGCTATAAATGGGACACAACTAATGCTCTGCAACTTCATAGAAAATTAACTAATGAGCACCTGTATCCATCTAACCAACAAAAAATGAGGAACCATCTAGCAGAAGATGTCCTTGATTCAGAAATGCTGAATTTAATGATGCAATATCAGAAATATCTTGGAGAAAAGGGATGTGTTTTGAATGGCGTGATTGAAATTCTTAAAATGACCTCAAAAATGATAAACATATTTAAGGATATGCGCCCTGTAAAAACTGCGGATGACCCAAGATTGGAGGAACTTTCCCTTGTAGCCCAGTGGTTTGCAAACTGGAAAACTAGTGCTCTAAATAAGGCTTCAGTTAAAACAAAGGACAGGGGCAAACAAATATTGTCACTACAATGCCATGAAGACATTCAGTCATGCATAGTAGGTTTTATTCAACTGTGTAAAATGTTTCTAAAAAACAAATCTACAGTTTACATAACTCCTGCTCTAATAAATTCAGATGTTGTTGAAAACACCTTTAACCAGCAAAGATCAACTTACCACGGGGCAAACGCAAATCCAAATGCACTACAGTATCGAAGGGCCTTAAACAGTATTGTACTTGGACAAAAAGTAGTGTCCCAGAAAGCAAATGCCGGTAAAAATCGTGCGGCTGCTCTTCCATATGACTTTTCTTTGAAACAATACAAAACAACAAAAAGAAAATCAGAAGATAACAGTGCATACAGTAAAATAAAAGTAATTAGAATGTAAAGTGTACAGAACTTTTAAAACAGTGAAAATTCCACATGTCAGAATTTGTTCTTGAACTATTCAACATTTGTGTCAGATTTGAAAGTCTGAAAAGGACATCCCTCGGAAGCACCCAGAAAAAAGCAGAAAGTGAAAACTGTTCTGAAGTATATAAAATCAGATGAAAAGCAGATGAACACAGTTTATGTGCCACAGTCATAACTTACAGGTAATTTATAAATTTTGTTTTTACCTATTTATATTTGATCTGCAACAACTAATGTCTTCCACTGGTTCCATAGAGGACTCACTCAGGAACTGTCTTACAACTTGTGGTTGTTGAATTACACTTAGTTGAGGGTTGAAGTGGATAACTCTTAAGCCCCTGGTTTCTCGAGCTCTTCCAAGTGCAACGCCAAGTTGTCCTGGCTTAAATATGTGACGACAATCAACTTCCAGACTGTGATAAATTAAAAGATTTAATCTACAATTTGCAATATTGAAACAAAATGCCACAATAATTTTCTTAACACACTGCCTTCTGAATTCAGACTTAAATATTTCATCTATTTAAATCCTTATTTTGGAATTCTCTTTAATCTGGTTTGAAAGATAACCATGAATGTGTTTTTGTGCCAAGACAAAACATTGTCCAATTACATTTGCAAATTGTAGTTTTGTTGATATTATATCTGTTTATTAAAAAGTAGCAGCTGGAAAACATACTAAAGGAAAGCAACAAATGACTTGAAATCTAATGATTTTTTGATTTTATCACTGTGTATAGGTTCATTGAACTTCACTTTCAATGTAAAAAATAGAACCATTAATAGTCAAAAGAAATTACCAGTCAAGTGTTAGGCCCTGTGATTTGTGTATACTCATGGCAAAACTGAGCTTGATTGGATACTGAACTCTAACAGCAACATCAGTATTCATGGGAGGACTGAAAACTGAAATGATAAAAGCATAATTAGTTTTAATTCAGTCAATATATTGTGAAACAAATTGCAGCACTTCACAGAATTAAACTAATTTGCAATTAAATACTTTAAGATATCCATTTTCATACCATTTTTAGCCTTAAAACACTTATAAATTCAGGAGTTCAACAACAAATAGGAAAATTGAGTTGTTTACCTGAAAATGTGATTTTCTCCATTGGCATTTTCATATTCAATGATGGGAATTCCACAACTGGACCACTTTCAGTGATATCAACGACTGTTCCCCGTAGACCATTCACTAACTTGTCAGAAAGATTACGTAGCAACATGACAGGTGCCCCTTTCTTAAGCCAAAGAGTTTGCGGTGCAAGTATTTTGTTTAAGAATTTGCGATCCCCTTCATCAGTTGATTTGTATTCATATAACTCACCGGGAAAATCCACTATACACTGCCTATTGTAATCATCAACTTGCTCATTTCTTGAAAACAGTTTAATGCAATTGTCATCTTTTTCTAAAGGTCTCTGTAAACTTTCAATAAACATACAGTTTCCGCTGATACATTTCCGATTGAAACTTCATGTATAGCATGTATAAGTTCAGTGTCAGATTGCCTTAATACTGTTGTGAGGGTTATTCTATGTGGCAGCACTTTCGAAAACAAATTGCTTTCAAAGCAAAATTCCCCCTGCTCACCATATAATGGATTTGGTACTGGTGGCAACTGTCTAAAATCACCAGACAGCAGTAGCTGGATGCCACCAAAAAGTTGATTCTCGTCCTTCAGTTTACAAACTTCATTAAGGCATTCAAAAAAGTTCTTACTCAACATCGAACACTCATCTATAATAAGAACATCTGTGTTTTTTTTTTCTCACGTCTGCAAATTTGACATTGTTCTTGATAACTTGTCTTATTTCTTTACAATGAAACCTTCCGTCCCCAATGCCCGACCACCTGTGTATTGTTTGTGCTGAGTCATACAGACAGCATGCGATTCCAGTGGTGGCCGTAACTGCGACCACTTTGTTTTGAGACTTTAATGTTTTACAAATGTGTTTTATTAGAAATGTTTTACCCGTTCCTGCGGCTCCCAATAATAAAAGATTGTGTCCACTTGAAATACAATCAACTGCCGCTAATTGCTCACTATTTAATGCCATCTTTTTCCTTTATTAAAGAACTGTGTACGAAAACATGCGAATGAAGATTACACAACATTTGACATACGGCGCTGTTTTGGTTTCTGACTTTCAGGTACTTCACTGTTGGAAGCCGGGCACCAGAGGCGATCCCCCAGAAGTGACCAATCGGAGACGTGTTTACAAATATGATGCGTGCGCATTCCCTTCGAAATATGGCTGCATAGAGGTGGAGAGGAAAATCGTTGTGTCTCTGAACTGTTGTCTGAAAGGCTATCATTTTTACATGTAAGTGTATTGATTTAATGTATTTCTTATGAATCTAGTGCAACTTTGGTGCTGAACGGCGAATATTACGTATTTTAGGCCTGTGTATAGACAGCGGAGTTTCCGGCCAGGAATCTTCCGACCAACACAAATGTCAAATTTGAGGCGTCATATTGCAGGTATAAAATAAACCTCGTGGAAAACGAATGATTTTCGAGGCAGAGACATTCGTTCCACGTAACCTGCCACCAAAATTTTGGAAATTGACCGATGATTGTATGAGAAATTGACGTTACAAGCAATGACATTAGTTTTTTCCCATTGAGAATGCCTGAGAGATGAATACCTTGTAATAAATTAACAATATAATTTTATATTTTTGTTGGAAACTATTAATTTGATTGTAATATGCATATTGGATAGTGTTTTACAGGTTTCAGATGATCATTTTTTATTTTTGAAAATATGGGGGGTTGTAGTGTGTGGTTGGGGGGTGGGGGTCCAGGTCACGCGACGGGCACCTTTGTTTTTTACTTTTGGAAGACAGTATATAAATAACACATGGGTTTGTGGGTAACAGTAAAAATATCATCATGTGGAAAATACTGTTACCCGAGGCGTAGCCGAGTTATTACCCCGAACAAATACTGTGATGATCTGCATTTGTAAAATAAATCTAACTGTAACAAAATTAAACTAAGAGTACCAATAACTAAACTGTCCTTACCTTGCAAGCTGTAGGCCTATTGTACTTGAGAAGCTGTTTTTCTTTTATTCTTTAAATAAGCAAGTGATATCTACCAGTACAGATAATCATACAATAAGCTGTGTTTTATTCAGAAAACAAAAAACTATCCCATTTATAAGGTTATGATCTGTGAAATCTGATCCTTCTTTATCCAGAATATTCTTCGCATGTTTTTTTGACAAAGTGCATTTACAAATTAGCGATGATATCCTACAGATGTCAGCCCACCAACTCTATCTGTAGCGTTTCACAGGTTAAAATTGTTAAATAATCCTTTGTTGCATGCTTTTATCTTCTGCATATTCCAGTTTTACACAAAATTGTTCACAGTTGAAAACGGATGTTTACCTTTTGACTATTCAACAAAAAGGTATTTATACGCGAAAGGAACTCTAGGGTGCAAAGAACTAAATTTTATGAGAGTGATAGTTACTTTGGTGATGCCATAGGCCCTATCGTCGAAAATAAGAATGAATCGAGAGAAAAATGGCGGCCATTTTATTTCATTTTATTTAGAAAATAGACCACGTGACCTGATTTTATACTGTTAAAAAATACTGTTACCTATGTAACAGTACAAAATTCTTAGTCACGTGGTACACTTGCATTAACAGTAAAAATAACTCCCAGAGGCCTATGGAAAATTAACATTACGAAAAAAGTGAAGGGTAATAATATTAAATAGCTGATTTTTCAGACCATAATTATGATCCCAACGTTTTCTAGTCCTATTAAGAGGGATATGCATACAAATTAGTGAATTTATCAGTTGTAAAGTTATGACAACTACAAATGTGTCCATACGACAATGATGCCCTCGTTTGTCTGTAACGTATATTTCATCACAGCAGCATATTTACATTCTAAGCTTACATGTTTTAATAAGTATTACTAATGCAACTAATAAACTTCGCAAACTAACAACATTGATTTGACAATTATTTCATATTAAGTGTCACTTGACCTAATGACCTCAAACTGAAAAGAAAAAGATTGTCATCTGCAAACTCGGACTCATTCCTTCTAAAGTTTTTGATCGGACGAGGACTTTACTGTGTTACTGTAACCTCGTAAAGAACAGGGGACATGGGCATGTGATGTCCCTAGCAAGTTACACAAACTTCTCAAATTATTAATTTGACTCTGATGAACAGGATGTACATACAGACTGACCACACCATTACAGTATGCTCCCCACTTTTAATGTATTGAGCTGTGTATAAAAGTGTAACTTCATTGATTTAAGAGATTCACATTCAGTAGTTTGGCACCTTTAACTGATTCCTGATAATTATATGAACTGAATATCAAATATCAGTCTTTCAATGAAGAATAACTCTGCTTTTTATCAATAAATAACATAACTACACACATTTTCTTGTATTTCAAATTTATTTCCACTTTTTTTATGTTGCTTATTATAGACAAAAAAGAATATCCTTAATAAATAAATACATAGTTCTAAAAACGATTCCACAAGGTAATGTAGTAAAATAGTTTTCACAGTAAATTCTCTGTTTTTGCATACCAACTGTTGTTTGTGTTTTAACTATTAAAGAATATTCAGCACTTAAGATGGCCACAGAGGATGGGATTTATTCCACTTTACAAACAAATAGAAGCTGGTTTCTATAACAACTACTCCTGTGCCCCCCACTGTGAAACCTGTAATTATAAACATTGTATGAATTACAACTACGTGACAAATGTCAGTACGATAATCTTTTATTTATAAATATATGTCAACTAAATGATCATAATAATTTATTGATAAGTATGAGATATTCTATTAACAATCTGTTTGATCAAACATAAAACAGTTCCTTTCATTGCTCAATATACTTCAGCTCATACTCTTGGGACAAGTAACTATCAACAAGTGGTCTGATGATGGTGTCTAATTGATCTATTGATAAGTGTAGTGTTAAAATGATATGAGCCGCATCACGACAAAACCAACGTAATGCGTTTGCGACCAGCATGGATCCAGACCAACCTGCGTATCCGCGCACCCATGCTGTTCGTTTACCAACTCTATTACAAGTAGTGAAACTGATAGCGAACAGCATGGATCCTGATCATGGTCGCAAACACATTATGTTGGTTTTGTCATGGCGCGACTCAATTTTATTAATGCTGTTTTCATTTCTAAATGCCAAGTTTTTAGTTTTCTCTATAACCTGCTGTTATGGTGATACAGCCTGCGTTCCCATGACAACATGACCCCGAAAATATGACAATAAATACTTGTATAAATGTTACAACTATCATAAAATATTACCTTTACTGACTACCATGTCTTGTATCATGTCATGACATTAAAGTATTGTTTATGTAACACATCATTTAAGTAGCAATTAAATTCGTGGATTCAAAGATTTTAAATGTATCTTTGCACCAACCAAATGAAGATTAAATTCTCAACAATTCCTACGACTAACAGTAAACATCTTATCAACATGAAACATGAAAATTATATAAATTGTAACATTAATTAAGTGCCAGAAAAATATAGTCAAGCTTTTACTGCAGCAACTATACTGTTATGTAATTTAATGAACTGTTTTGAATAATTTGTTACTTACTTTTTAGTATAATTATCAAGTTTTATTATTAAGTGTGTAATATTAGATATACCAGTTTGGAGTCTATTTTGGCGTCTAGGCGAGCATTTCGTATCAAGTTATTAAGTGTGCAATAATATATATACCAGTTTGGAGTCTATTTTGGCGTCTATGCGAGCATTTCGTATCAAATTATTAAGTGTGTAATAATAAATATACCAGTTTGGAGTCTATTTTGGCGTCTAGGCCAGCATTTCGTATCAAGTTATTAAGTGTGTAATAATAGATATACCAGTTTGGGGTCTATTTTGACGTCTAGGCGAGCATTTCGTATCAAGTTATTAAGTGTGTAATAATAAATATACCAGTTTGGAGTCTATTTTGGCGTCAAAGCGAGCATTTCGTATCAAGTTATTAAGTGTGTAATAATAGATATACCAGTTTGGGGTCCAATTTGGCGTCTAGGCGAGCATTTCGTATCAAGTTATTAAGTGTGTAATAATAGATATACCAGTTTGGAGTCTTTTTTGGCGTCTAGGCGAGCATTTCGTATCAAGTTGACAATCCATCTTTAAGCATCCTCAGGTGTCATGTTTAATTTACTTGCCAACATGCTGCATTATAATAAATCAAAGAAGTACATTGTTAACCATCAACAAAATAATGTCAAGACATTAAACCTTGACAATATCTCCAGCCAAATCTAGTATATGTAGCGATATGCATTCTTAATATTTAAAGTCACAATCTTTGACAATGTATCCAGTCAAATCTGTTGCATGTAGAAAAATTCATTCCTGACATTTTATGTAGCAATCTTTGAC